CGCATGATGTACAGCAGATTTTAAGATAATTTACCTTTTGTTTTCTATATTTTAGCTTTGAATTAATCTGTTTAAAATCTAAACTTGAACCTTTTTAATTGCTTTTGAGATTACCCTCTGATTATATGTTGAATTGGTCTTGTCAGCATTACTTTTAGAAAAGATACAGATTAAACAGAGTGCTTTATTTGATTTTAGATAGTTATCACCCGTGTATTTTCAGTCTAAGTCTCCCAAGGACTAGTATGTGATTCTCATTTAAGTATGCTACAGACACTCTACATTACCAACACATTTTGATCTTAATGCAGTCAGAAAGTATTTAAAAAAAATCTTCAAATCATTTTCCAAAATGATGCTGTATCTAAGTGGTTGTGCTCAGTTACTCACTTCATAAGAATGAATGATTTGCAATGCTTATCACAAACAGACATAACGTAAGAAAAGCGGTGGGGCGTTTGTTGACCCTAAATAAAATCCCTAAGAAGTACTGTTTCTCAAACAGGAATCCAGAGGACAACGTAACACTTTTCCGAACAGTGGTAGATGATATAACAAGGGGCAGTAGTCACAAACCTGCATCTCAGGAGTTTCAGACATCAGGAAAACTTTTTCACTTGTGGGTAATGCAGCAGTGGAACAAGTCACCCAGTCTTGGGACCCTTCATAGTCAGAAGTTTCTAAGACACAGCTAGGTAAAGCCATGCTTGATCTCATTACTTCTTTGCTACAGCTCTGCTTTGAGCAGGAGGTTGGCTAGATGACCTCCAGAGGTCCCTGGTAGCCAACATGCTCCATAATCCTATGAAGCTGACAAGACTTCTTTGCTATCATTCAGATTCAGGTAACTATTTTTCCCCTCAATTTTTCCCTTTCCTTTTCTCCCTCCTCAAGGGCAAGCAAACACTTCTCCAAAGGTTGTTCATTCCATTAAATTCCTAACAGCAACTATCGGATGCCTCTTCTTTTTTGCTATACCTGCCAACACATTTTACGACGAGGAAGATGGCAATGCAACTCAGTTATCTCTACAAATCATTCCAGCTGATGGCTCTCCATTGGGATCAGAAAGCTGGCTGCAATTTAACACCTCCCAGCAAACCATGCACGGCTATCCCCTTGATGTTGACTTCCAGTATTCACCTCAGGAGTTTGTGCTGTCTGCCACAGATTCCGGAGGACTGACTGCCTGGGAATCCTTCACCATTGAGCTTCTGAAGCCCACCAGTGTACCGTGCCACCTTTACACCATCAGAATAAAAAACAGCTACTACTCTTTCCTGAGAGAGAGGAAAAGGATTAGTTTGTTTCTAGAGAAGCTCTCCCTCTATTTGAGCTCCAGCAGTCCCAAAGACATCACAGTGACCGCTCTCAAACCTGGGTCCACAGCAATCTCCTGGTATAACAGCTCGCTGTGTACAAGTGCCAACAGATCTTCCAGGTGGTGCGCAAAAGATGAAATCCAGGAAGCACTAGAGAAATTAAGAGTGCCAGATGGGTATGTTAGCCCACACTTTGTCCAAGCAATGTTGCCAGAATACAAAATCGATGTAGTTTTCAACATTTCATATAGTGAAGTCTGCTTTCCCACTATAAAGCCATTTGATGGGTCTTTCAACAGCACTGTGCCTACACTTCAAGACAAGAATGACTCCACAATTAGGAGGACCTCATCCGCCTTACTAAGCAGTCTTTGTGTCACTGTTGGGGTGGTTCTGATAATATCGGTTTACTGGTTTTGCAAGCATCACAGGAAGATCCCTGGATCACAGTCTGTGATGTTTCAGAGAAACTCCCTGTCAAGCCATGCTGATGTGGAACTGGATGTCCTGAAACCTCGCAAAGTACCTGTACATGAGTGCAGGACTTATCCTTCACCTCAGTTGTGGATGCCACCTTTGGAGTCACTTACCTCCCAAGAGCAGTATTCTAGGTCAATAAGAATGCCTCACATCATACCGTCTTCCCAGCCACCAAAATACCAACTGCCTCCCCATTATCAAGAAGGTATGACTACCCAGAATGACCAGGGCAATATCCACAGACATAATTTAAGATCTTTTAAATATTAAAAGCAAATCTACAAAAAGACAATTTGTACTAGAAAGTACTATCCTTACTACTCAGAAAAAAGTCATAAGCAGTTAGTAATTTTACAATTTTCAATTTAAATTAGACCATACTTAAACCTATGCCTGACAGAGGCAGTACTAAAATCAGATCCCTGAAGCTAAGCTCTAGAACAAAATGCCAGGTAAAGCAGGTAAAGGAGTCTATAGATGATGTGGGTAGAGTGATATGCCTGTACAAGTCTAAAGAAAACGTATGTCAAGCTGATGCTGGTGGCAACGATGGGTCGCAGCCAGTGCTGAGTAAAGCTAATTCCATTATGACTCCCTGATTCATAAATACACATTTTACCTAGAGGAGGCAGAACTGTCAGAAGGACCATCACAACACATGTTGTTTCCATTGAAATTCAAAGGTGCTACAACCCTTGAGTCTGTCATCTTGGAATTTTACACCACTATTTTCAAAAAATGCATCCAGTAATTGTCACTCTCATGGGTGACATTATCTCTGTCCTCAATCTTTAAAAAATTTTTTAGTGTTTTTAATAAACACATTATATTTAGCATTTATAAAGGCAACGGTAGCTAATTAACATGAAACTCTGTTAGGTAATTGTGCACTGTCCTTTTTAAAATACATTTTAAAGTTAGACTTGCTTTCTTAGAGTAAAACTGTCTCTATTGTCTGCTCCCACCCATGACAGTTCAAGGACCAAAGGGAAGAAAATGTGTAAAAGAATTTCTAAAAATTTTTCAAATATTTTTAAATCCTTTCAGTTTAAGATTAACATATAGAAGATTTAATCTGAATTTAATTATGGATTAAACTACTTAATCCATAACTTCCAATTTTAATCTATAAATTGTTTTAGAACTGAGAAAACCTTCCTTGAACCTGAAAGCACAGTGTGCAACAGGACCAAAGTACCACCACATAGACAGGCAAGGAGATACACACAGAATGGCCTTTACATAACTGCTACAGGACTTCACTGGAGATTGCCAAAGAGCCTCAGACCACTGACGTTACAACTCTGGAGATAAGTTTCACTATCACACAGAAGCTGTCCAGCTATAAAACAGCTCTAAAGTTTGATGTAAAAGTCAAAGCAGCAGTAATTCTCTGTAGTCAATAGTCTAGACATAAGATTGGTAAAATATAAATCTAAAGGACTACTGCAGGAAACATCAGCCCTTGTAGTATCTCATGTCTCAGCAAGACTCTCCAAATACTTAGAGTACAAGCCCACAGTCAACCACCTTGGAGAATCAGGCCCCATTCATTTCATCACTTAGGAGTCTTACCTGGCAGACGTTCCAAAAAGTGGAAGATGTACTTCATAAACAAACTAAACAAATATATTTTAATAGCAGGTGTAGAAGTTCTTTTCCACTAATAAAGTATTTAATCCTTGTGCATATTTAAGGACTGCAGCTGAATATTAATGGCACATCAGGAAATTAAACACACAGTTCTGCAAGGCACAGGATAAGCTTTTCAGTTATACTTCTCTAGACCAGCAACAAATTGCAGAAAGCTGACATTTACATGCTCCCTAGGTTCCAGATTTTCAAATTCCTTTAGTAAACAAGAGGAATATCCAGAATCATACACAGTACAATCTCACTATAAAACTCAGAAACTTAGAAACAATAATTCCATGGTAGTTTTCTCCATCAGAACATTTCTGATAAGATAAAGAGATGTGGTGATGCAGGACATCCTATTTTCAATGAAGGAGTGAAAATAAGTCTTCCAACCTTAGGGTCTCCAAGAATTACACAATGCTTCTGTAAAGCTACCCAAGTTTTAGAATATGATAAAAAACATTATCATCCAAGTATTCTTTAATCACTCTGTAAAAATGGTTCTAAAATCATTTAACAGAAAACACATCTGCATCACAGTGGCTAAATAATCACCTTGAAACTATACACGGTACTTTAACACAGCTGAAGAAAGGACTCAGCTACCAATATAAGCAAAGAATACTTGCATGATATTTGTATTCAGATCTAGTCATCACGAACAGTTTTTAAAGTTGCAGGTGAAGAAATATGAAGCTTGAAGAAGTGTCTTAAATCAACTTAAACTATAACATATCAAATCTGTGAGACCTTCAGTTGCTTATACAAGATAGAATAAGGCAGATGCAGATTGAAGGCAGGCTGATAGACTTGAAGAGCTTAGCTATTCATCTTTCCTTAGCCCACTCAAGTTGACCCATTTGGAAGCCAACCCAAAAATCTTACAAGGGATTAGATCACAGACACTGGGTGAGAGTTTTCCCATTTGAGAATTCTACTGTCCATAAAGAGAAAGAGGTTCTACTCAAAAAACTGAAGACAGATCATCTACTTTGAATATTAATGGCTGTGAAATGGCAGAATAAGTCTCCCCATGACATTCAAAAAAGCTTAGACCTAAACCCACAGGTGTCTGAAAGCATACATCAAAAAAATAACTTAATGATTAGCAAAAATTTTATTTTATTTTTGCTTACAAAAACTTAATTCCAGCACAACCACCTAAAAGGCTTTGCTTTCTAACAATCATTTCTAGTCAATTTTTAAAAGTCCTTAAACCCAAAGCTTTTATCTGTAAAATCCACTCACTCTCCCACCCCTTAGTTGAAAATCAGACTGGCATTTTCTCAGCTCAGTGACTAGGTACTCAGTGTGCTATCTTTTCTATAATTCTGGACTCCTGAGGAAGTTCCATATAAATAAAAATATTCATGAAACAATTAACAATATTGCTAGTTAATTTTCAGTTACATGAATTTTTTTTTAAACAGTCATCACTGATTTTGAAATATTAAACAATACTTATGGGAAAGGACTTTAACATTTTTAATTGCAGGTTTTCTTCATCCTAAAACATGGACTGTAAAATACTTTGACAGCTCAAATTTGCACACTATTCATTTAATGTGATATGCAGATTTCATATTTCATAGCAAAAATAAGAATAGAAAAATGTAAAAACCAAAACAGAGCTATACAAGTGTACTGAAATGGTACCAATATCAGTTCCAGCACTAAATATTTTTGCTATTCAGCCAAGTTTTGTCCAAAGAAATAAAATTAATCACTGCCGGCCAGCTTTTCCATTTTCTGCTGTTTCCATTCTGAAATGCAAGACAACAATTAGTAAAGCTTGTTATTGGAAATACAATCAACAGATTAAGAAAAAAATCAGACTTAGGTATTTTTAATAAGTATTTTTACTTCACTAACCACCCTGTCTCTCCCTGCCCCAACATACACAATCTTATCTCCTCTTAATTCTTTAAGCAGCAATCAGTACATAAAGGAAAGGTTTCTGCAAAGAAACTTTCCAGCCACAACCACAAAAAGCTATCCATTATCAACCCCACCAAAAGACAAAAGCCCATATTCAGATTCTCTGTAGTCACGTATTTCTAAAATTTGAGCTTTAGCAGTTTGTTTCAAGGTCTTCATTTTCACCCGTGTTACACTGATCATTGACTACTACCATCTTATCTACTTAAGAGGAGGCTAGTTTGGTTTTTCAGTATTTTTTGGCAGAACATGTACTATTATCAACTTCATTACAGCTCAGCAAAAGTTTCAACCACTTTATGAATAAGATTTTTTATATTAGCTATTCCTTTGGAAGCTAAAGCAAGCAACAGACTGGCACAAGAAATTGCAACTTAGCTACCATTTAACCCCCTGAAGTTTAAGAGTTTTGCTGCAAGGGCAATCACTAAGGCATAGGAAAGACCATTTATCAGCATTCAGCCTTGCTCAGATGCAAACAAGCCAAAAAGAAAACACTGCTGTAGTTCTCTATCAATACTGAGAGAAGAGCTAGGAGTCTTTAATGCTGTAACTGACATATTCCTCCATACTATATATTGACTACCACTAAAGTATTTGTAGTGATGCCTTTACTGATACAAACCCATTTTCTTCTTTCAGATGTTGATATAGCTCAGCTTTATTGTTGACAGAGTTCAAACGACCAATAAATTCCTGGTGTTTCCTAGAGTTGGCAGTATTAATCCTATTGCTCCATAAAGACAGCAAGGACATTGGCCCTAAAAATCACAAGTGAAAAAAGTCTAAGTGGTCTAATTTTTTAATTCTTAAACATTACATCATTATAAAGGCTCAGAAGTTAGACTATGGTAGTACAACATATTAAATCCTCTAATATTAAACTACCTTATAACAGATGCTAAATAAATACAAGATATGCAAAATAACAGCTGAGCAGTTGCTTCATATGAGATTGGTTTTGCTTCAAATGCAGAATCTGAACATCAGCTCAGCCATTGCGACAGACGACACATCAAGAAAGAGAAATCAGTGAGAACTGCCTATTCTGACAGCTATACTGCTTAGCCGTGTTGACATTTATAGTCAGCAGGAGACAGTGATTTCTGATACCTGTCCTTAAATAGGATTTCTGACATACAGTAGGTCAAATAGCACCAGCAGAAGTTTGTCCAAACCCCTGCCAACCCAAGAGACCCACACAGCAGCCTGGTATCTCTCTTGTTACACAGACCTGTTGAGGTTAACATTTATCAAGAACTTAACATTGAGTGTCTAATTAAAAATTATCCTCACTGACTTAGCTTTAACTCCAGAAGATTTACCTCATTACTTTAGAAAATACAGACCAATACAACAACTTCTATCTTTAAAAGAAATAATCTGTTGCAATTCTTCTGGATTACCTTTTGCCTTTTCAACAGTGGGCATTTCATCCATTGTAATAAGGGGCTTTTTGTTGGGTGGCTCAGGAGAATCAGGGGAATCTTTGATAACTTCGGCTTCTGCTAATTCTTCTTTTTCACGATCCAAAAGACTTTTTAACCTTTTTGAGAGGAAAGGAAACAGTGAAGCAAAATATGCTAGAGCAGCACACATGATTCACAACACCATTCTGTACTCCTCAAAGTTGCATGCAACCCATATCATAAGAAAATTTCTTTTGACCCCTTGGAATGGGTGAGAAACAATAAAGACTAGCCAAATAATGCTTTGGATAAAGCCCTAACCAAAGGGAAGAATCTTAAAATACAATTTCAATTAAATTGGTTAGCAGTATTTATGTTGTAGTTGACACAGTTGATCATTCTGAATTTTGAAGGAAAGACTAAGTAACAATGAATGTACAAAAATACCACACAATTTCCTCTCATCTTTTCTATGTGAACTCAGACCTATTCTATACCAAATTCCTTTTATCTCAGTCCCCATTTTTGTTCCACATGTGAAAGTAAAAGCAATTATAGGAATGAATTTTATTACACACTGAAAGACATGAAAGGTCATCAGCATAGCAACAGTAATGCAGGTGAAAGTTCTCCTATCCTAAATGATCGTAGCATGCACAATCATATACAAATTAAGCTTATACCATAAGGGTTTTTTGATCTCTATAGTTAGTAGTTTGAAAGACAGAAAACAGGAGAGACTGATAGATGCATACCATTTAGACAAGTTACAATAACACAAGTGAAAGACAGTAGGTATATGGACAATCAATCCTAACATTCAACTGAAGAGAAGAGCAAAATCAATCTGGATTGTTTATTTACCTGAGCACTAAACTATCTACAGCTCAAGAGAAAATAACTGCTTGTCCCAAGTTTTCAGTCATGCTTTCTATTTCTGTAAAGCAGTTGAATGTCTAATAGGTGGTGTGGTTATGATAAAAATCCAACAGCAGTAACTCGTCAAGCTGCAAAGCCCTGCTAAGCGGTCAACAACTTGAACAAGAACCAACTGCTTGTGAAGTATGTTAGTTTGAAGAGTCTCATAAGCAGGCACTCTAAGATGCCCATTTCCCAAGCTTGGTAACAGTGACTGATCCAAAAACCCCTGGGATCCATGCTCACTGGTAGTAAGCCAAGGTTACAAACATGAACACATTAGATTGAAACCAGCAACTGTTTCCCCACAATTTCTCTCCCCTTTGAAGTAAGGCAGGACAAAAGTTATTATGCTAGTTTTATTTCACTTTAAAAGGATACCTTTCCGATTCTTGCCATGGTTTATCTGATTCATAGTCTTTGCCCAGCTTCTCTGACTTGTCTTCTTTGTCTTCTCTCTTTCGACCTCGTTTCTTGCGCTCTTCTTCTTCTGGGGGTTTGCTTCTGCAAGCCATCAAACATTCTAAGACTCGCTGGTGTTTATCAGAGTTGTTTATGTGCGCTCGTACAAGGGTCTCCAATTCATTCCACATAATCCGGTATTGTTCATCCCTAAGCAAAGCCAGAAAAAAAGATATTACATACTGGATTACCTGGATCATTAAACCATTGATTAAATTAAAGGTTAAAAACCAGACCTTAAGAAACCAAAAAACCCCAAAACCAAAAGTAATTCCAAACAGATCCTCTGTCCACTTGTACTGGAGGTCTATCCACCTGCAATTACTCCATCCTTGAAAGCACACTGCATGTAACATTTCCCAATTAACATCCAGAGTTAAGTTTAAATTGAAATAGACTATGTCCACTGAAATCAAATTCTTAACTTCCACAAGACCTCACTGTCAAAAGGCGCTTCTGAACCCTCTTAAGTATTTGCTAACTATGCAATGTCAGGATATGCAGAAAGCCATTCATGTACTGACATGCAAATTACTTTAATTCTTCGGATAAAAAAAATTAGAAAGAATTGTGCTATGCTACTGTAAATAACTTCCAGTCATGTAGGCAAATCTTCCGTAGCTGAATTTCTTTTCAGTCAGTTCTTGGAAATACAATGCACACATCACAATGACAGAGATACTACAATATTCTATGCTTGTTTTAAAGGAGTAGCCCATATTTAAAATAACTGTTTCAGAAGGATTTGACTATTCTAATATAACCCAATTTTAAAGCACTGTTCATTTAACATGCTTAAGTTTTTCTTATTAATTTGAAATTATTCCACTTCCTCTGTCCTAACTTGTATCAAACTCTTACCTTTCTTAATGACTATCTTTGCTTTCATATTTTTTAACATACTCACAATTCTTGGGTAATAAAATTATGTATTTTTTCCTAACGTAGAGCAACATCAGTACTGTGATAGCCCCTACATGATGCAGGCAAAGTATTCACAGCATTTGTTTTGCATACGTACAGCATTTAGTTTACTACATATTACCTTTGGCCAAATTTTAAAAGTTTGGTATGAAAACAATGTCAACAGAGTATTTGTGAAAAAAAGTCCAGCATCAAAGAGATATGCATGTAACCTTTTTGGACCCTTTCCTCTGGTACCAACTGTTGAAATTGGTAGTGGATCATTTTTCCTCTCCATGTCCACCAAATTGTATATTGTTTTTTGACAATTCAGAACATCCTCATCAGTCATTGCTTCTTTCACAATCACACTGGCTAATGGCACTACCTGCAAGTCAAAAAAGTCAACAAGAAAAATCTGTGTATGTTGCAGGACAAACATGAAGAAAGAAATCAAGGCAATGCAACCATGGAACAACACAACCAAAACACCCCCTCTTATCCTCAATTTAGTAATAACTCTGAGTAGGTGTAAGCAGATGCACATTTTCTTTACCCAGCAGCACTGTAGCTGTCAGGTTCAAATATTCCACCCTATTTAGATGGCATTCCAATAATCTATTGACATTAAACAGTCTTAAGTGAATACAACTGAAAATAAACTGATCTTATGGCAAGTGATTTATCATAAGAGAGTCAATATTTCATCATGTGGCAAGGTGAAACTTAATCTAGAACAGAATAAAATATGACAAACCCAAGTTACTTACAGCTTGCATGTTGAAGATAGTAGTCTGAGAAATAATCATAGGCCAGTAACGAGTATGTTTCTCTAACTGATCTTTTGCACGTTCCAATGGAATTTCAAGACTTCCATCGGTCTTATATCTGGGCTCTAGAAAAGGAGTTAATCGGTTTTCCCTCATAAATTCACCAAAATCCTAATGATAACCAAACAAGATACAATTAGGCATTTCTCTAACAAAGTAACTTTCACTGAACGGGCAAAACAGCGCAGTCTTGCTTATCACTAAGTATGTACCATCCCCACCACTAAATATGACCCTAACAACCAAAGCCTTGTTTCTAGCCTTCGGATGTACATTATTCAGGGTGAGCACAGAAATAGTTGTATAAAAATGTGGGTTAAAAACTGATGCAAGGTTCTTGATGAGGAGGCCTTCTGGATCTGCAAGGTATTTCGTGTATGGTAAGAGTTTAAGATTTTCTAGAAGCCACTTCTGCTTGTTCACAGATACAAAGCATGTGTTGAAAAAAATAAAGAATCAAAATGAATGCCAGCTGATTGTCTGCTCCATATCCAGGGTTCAAAGCTGACGACTTTATCTTTCCTATTTATTGTACAAACTGTTCACATGCAATCTATCCTTCTGACAATAAACATGATATAGTCCATATCCAGCCCACAGAAAAAAACTTGCCAAGCAGTGTTATTCTAGAATCAGAACAAACTTTAGATACTCACAGTGCATAAGGAGGCAAGTACTTCCTTGACATGGAAAGGATTGTACAAAGCAGGCCTAACAGTAAGCAGATGTACTACTTTGTACTCCTGATACGTATTTAGTACAAAGAAAAACAATTTCACCATGCAATCCACTCCAACTCTCCAGAAAACATACCAACATTTCTTTTACGTATCTACTGCACTACATATCTTGTCATCTGAGATAAGCAACAATTTAAGAACAAAGAAAAAAAAAAGAATCTTACTGTAATCCGGTAGTCAGTGACTCTTCCACCACACCCTTCACTAATTGATGGGGGATCTTCTAGAATTGATCGTGAACTGCTTAATACATGCAAAAAAATTTCTCCTCCATGGCTGCTGAGCATGTGACTAATTACTTTAGAGCCAGACTTGCGTGGCTGTTCCAACAAAACAGAACGACCTGTTGGAAATGAGATCGGTTTCATTAGTTACTGAATGATGCAATTTTAAGTGAAAAGCTACATATACATAATACAGGTTTGCACCTAGCCAGCAAAACTCAGAATCCATTAAAGTTGTGTTTTCACCTAGATGAACAAGAAACAGCTATCTTGAGTGGACAGGGTGGCATCAGGTATACCGTTGGACTTGATGATCTTTGAGGTCTCTTCCAACCATAATGATTCTATGATTCTATAAAGGTGTCAACTGATACTATTTGTTAATGCTTAAAATAGATATGGTTTTTCAGACAGAGGAAAACTGCCTTTGTCTTATTTCCCATAAAATACACTACGCATAAAAGGGCACACTCTCCAAATAAGCTGTTTATGAGGAAGCAAAAGAGGAAGATCAGAAGATAGTGATTATATGAAATATGCTATTAACTTTGGTTCTAACCATTTTACTACTCAAAGAACTTCTACAGTACAGAATCTTCAGGGAAAAAATACATAAAAATATAGTTTAATAAAAACACTGCACATTTATTTAGACATTCAAATGACTTTACTAAAAAAACATCCCATTAAAAGGACATTAGTAATGCAATTTTGTTTGCAAAGTGTAAAAAAACCCACATGTAATTAACACTGACTACACATCATTTGTTTGGAAGAAACAGCTTTGGCTTACCTTTTTAACATGTACTTAAATGGCAACCCCTTATAGCAAGTTATTCATGGCAATGGGCAAGGTCTTGCAGATAAACAAAAGATAACTAAATCTAACCTACTTTTTGACCGATCCCAGTACACACAGGTATGTCTGCTTCAATTGACCAACATACTTAGTTGGCCATAACCCAGTTAAAAGAGCTTTCTGAGGCTCCCCAGCATCTGCTAAAAATCAGGCATAGACATAAGCTGCTAATATTTTGTAATAGTCAGAATAAGCATTGTGATCAAGTGCACTATGTTCTACTGAGAGCAATGTTTCCTACTAAGTAGCATACAGTGAAAAGTATTCTACGTTTGGATTCAGAAAACAACTACCAGAATTCAATACTTGCTCCTTTACATCTTTCCTCCCATCTTCAAGTTTCAAAACACATTCTACTTGCCTTTGAGTACATTTAACAACTTTCTTCTCTTATTTATATGACATGTTAAAATAAACTTGACATTTTTATAGCATATAGACATTTTCCGCTATACAAACCAAAATGTGGTAAGTGCTCTATTCACAAATTAACAATTAAAACATTAAGTAATTAGCCAAGGACACAAATTTACCATTAAGGAGAAAGTTGGTAAGGCATGAAGAAGGTCTGCTATTTACATCTACCGGTGAAATTCTGTATGCTCCGGTGCAATAGTGTAATTCTGAAAAATAAGGGAGTAGAAAACTTGAGAGTGTAGTTCCACATACAAAAAAGTCCCACAAAATAAAAAGAGGCTATTCCACAATCAGCAGAACTAAAAGTCTAGTGTCTCTCGATCTAAAAGTTTGCTCCTTCCACCATCTCCTCACAATTGTTCCAGTACTTTCAACTCCGACAACCTAATACATTCCCATTTCCACAGGACCTCCAGTTTTTATCTCCTGAATTATTCCACTGTAGAGTCAGCCTCCTCTTATTTCTCTTACCTATATTTTTGACCTGCTGCTCAAAAAAACACTACTGCAGAGCTGACAAGGTATACTTGGCCCTGTGCGATGGGCAAATTATTACCGAACATTGTAGTCAAGGAACTACTTCATGATACTTATGAGGAGACTAAAAAAAAAAAAAAACAAGAAAAACACTGCTACCCCTCTTACCTCTTACACAAACCACTCACTAGCCAAGATGAGGAGAGCATCGTATTGACTGTTAGTAAAGCAGGGTGCAGTCAGCAGCAAGGTTTATAGAGCAGAAAGTAAAGCCAGCATTAACAAGCAGCGAATTACCCCCTTGTTCCGATTGTTATGGGTGTACAGAGAGAACAGTGTTCAACACAAGTTAGAATATCAGTTTTGTAAGATAGCATGGTACCTACCCACACTATTTGTTCGAGGAGTACACCATTTTAATGTTACAGTTTCTTTAAATGTGCCTTCTCTGCTATTGCCACCTATATGATTATCACCTGCAGTAAAAAGTCAGAAAAAGTGTGATCAACCATATTTTCTTTATTACAACAAAAAACCTCTAAAGTAAAAAGTACAAAACATTTATAACATAAGCATATACAAAATGTAATCTGATTTTTAAAAGTTAGATGTCTAACTTAAGCAAAAAAGCTATTCGTGGCAGTTGAAAAAATAACCTTTTAAAATCAGCAACTATTGCATATATTTCAAAAACCAATTCAGTAAACAAAACACTACAGCTCCAGATATGTTCCATATGTTTGATTCAACATTTATGAAGTTAGAGATGTTTTATCTAACAGGCAATTTTTTCCTTCAAAAATGCCTAGGACTTTGAGACAATATATTTTTTGATTTTCTACACAGAAATCAGAACCCTTAACAAATGTTGATCATTTCAACAAGCTGATCATTTCTTGTACATATTATTCCAAAGTTAAAACTGAAACTGATCTAAAGGTACATCTGACAAGTTGGGCTTTTTGGGGAAAGAAGTGTTTGGTCTTATCCAGTATCTTTGCTACATCAGATTCAATCTAAACATATTTCAACATGTTTTACTGGCTGTAGATGTTTTATCATTAAAATACTTTCATACAATGTCTTACTGATAACTGGTCTGGCAAAACACACACCTGAAGGCCTTAAACTAGACATTATCAATACTCCCTTAACACATTAAACTACATTTCTACTTGTGAGTTTTGCGATTCTTCATGATCTTTGACTCACATTATCTCAGGAAAAAATTAACTGAGTTCTGCATGAAGTTCTAGAATTACAGTAGCATAGTCACTTAATATGTTCAAATCCACAAAAATTGTGAGGAATGAGACATACATCAACATGCAACATTGATATGAAATAAAAGAAAACATATTACATAAAGACATTTACTCACAAAAGATTTGATTTGCTTATTAATCATGCAGGTAACTTGCAAAAGTTGATTTTTTCAGTTAATTAAAATAACTGGAATCACTTTAGAAAGTCTCTCAGAATATCTAAAGGCCAAACTTATTTAATCTAAAAGTTCTCTAGCAACATTTCACAGAAATAAGATCAATGTAGCTGAATTCCTTCTTTCCTAGCTAGCACCAGAGCTATTAAAGCTGAAAGATTTTATTTTAAAAAAAAATAAGAGAAACCAAAATTTACAGGATCTAAGGACAGACTTTTCCCTCTCGAAGTTCTGATGGAAAAATTTTGAAGAGGAATTGCAGTGTCGGAGTTTGCTTTCAGCTTTTACTAGTAGACTTATTCCTTGAGCCAAGAAGTATTACAAAACTATTTCTGAGACCTTACAAAAGTTTTTTGCTTTCAACATGGTAACACAAGTTCAGGTGAGTTCAGATTACTGTAACATCCTATTCTTTTTCCTCAGTCTTTAAACCATACGCTCCACTAAAATATGGAGCACAGTACTTGTGGATGATAATGAGGAGTTCTCCTTTTCCCTCAAAGTAATGGGAATCTCCTTAAGCGGAAAAAAAGCACAAACCCCCTAAAATGGCTACTTACAGACCATATGATTTCAAACATCAGAAAAGAAATATCCACTCTTTGTTAAATAACTGACATAACTCATTTGTTAAATTCTTCACTGCTCAGAAGTTAAACCATGATCAACTTTCTAATATGCTTTAAAACTATATGATAATAGTTTCAGATAGTAAAATAAGTATCTACAGCCTGTATCTAAATACATTTATCCTATGCTCATAGTAAATTAGACTAAGCTTTTAACAGTACTAAATCATGTAACAGAAGTTACAATCAACACAGTGAGAGAAAACAAAGCACATATAAGCCTTTAAAAGCTTCAAATGAGACTTCAGCACTGAAGAGGCATACAGTCTAAGGATTCCAAAACACACTGACACAGGCTGAGGGTTTTTTCACTGCTTGGCTTTCCTTTTAGTTCCACTAATACAGAATTTTTAGTCTGACTTATTAACAAAGTTCTACATCAAGCACTGTTTCCTGAACAAAATAGTTTTGCATAAGGCTTACTGTTGTGTTTTTCTAACCTGAGCTAATTAAAAATTCACCTCAGAGGAATACTAGGTAGTAACTCCAAATTTACAAAAAGGACACTAGGTATTTCAAATACAACAAGAAAGCTCAAAAGCCAAGTAACTATTGTCTTTTCCAAAGCAATTACTGTCATAAATAGGCCTATGGGATGCAAGTGATGTCAACTATTACTACTTAACAGATTGAAAGTTCAATTGTGCAAGCAATAAACTTCCACAAATACTCACAAGAGGTACTTTCTTTTATAAAAATCACTGCACATCTGGTCTCTACTTTTGATATCTTAATAAGAAGTTGACATGCCCCTCAAGTCTCACACAAATATCCTAAACATACGTGAAACCTTGTCTGATTAATCTGAACTGTTTTTTCATTGCTATATCCTTATTACTGTATTAAAATATGCCAGTAATGAGTAAAACTTCAATGCCAATACTACAAATCAAGTTCTTGGGTTGTAAGGAATAACTGAAAATATGCTAACCATGCCTGAAATTTACACCAGTTTGAAGCTTGCAATCTTTCATTATAAATACTTTCAGCAGGCTGATCAAAAGCCACTTCTAGAGGTAAGTATTTCTACTTACCACTCTTTAAAAAGTCAACATGTGCCTCTTTGTGATGAAGAAGCTCCACATCATAGTTGGCTGATGTGTTAGCATGTTGTTCTTCCTTTAAAAGGATAAAGGTAGAAAGAATAAATGTAATTATTTTAGTTTGAGGTCACTGTTTTCATAAGTGAATGATTCTACATTTACCTTTCACTCCAGAAGAAAACAAAACATCTCCAAAGTGCATCAGACAACAACGGGATCGCAATGTTGAGGAAATTGTTTGCACTCTGACCTGTTTAAAGATGCAGCCAACTGCTTTTCCTCTTTTTACCTTTTTTCAAACCCTATGGTTTCCTCTTCATACAAATGTTATGACAGGGTGTATAGTGTAAAACATGGGTAAAAAATAGGCTTAACTACTTTTGTTTAAATTAGTAAAGTTAAGGAGCAACAAATGATCACTGCAGAATAGATTAGCAATCACTTTTCATAACTAAAAATCTCATGAATCAAAACCAAAAAACATACTTCAAACTTATTATCATTTCCTTGCACTTAAGATATCTAAGAAGCATACCTGCAGCTGCAAGTTCACAAACATCCATTTTTTTTAATTATAAAGAGGACACTGCATCTTTAAACAGCTGCAGAGGACTAGCAAAAACAGAACAATAACCTTGGCAATTTATTCTGAGTTAAAAAAAGAAAAAACCACAGAGAACCCAACATAGTCTATTACTATAAGGACAAAGGCAGAAGGGAGAGGTATACCAGCAGCACGCAGGTCAGAAAGTTACAGACAAGGTATTTGCAAACTTAAGTCACATTTATGCCATGACCCATGTCAAAGTTTCATTAAAGCTGTGAAAATAATTTTTAATTTCATGTTTTAAATTATAAAATCCATACAATATTGCTAGTTTTCAAGATGCAAGTACTGATTGACAGTATTAGAACTTGATGAATTCTTTAAATCAGGAAAGTTTCTGCCCCTGCCCTTTTTGTTTAAATGCTGACACTTCAGTTTCAATTGTCTCTTGCTGCCTGATCAGAAAGTTACTGTAAACTCAGTAGGATTTCCCTCCCAGTAGCAATAAAAAAATATTAAAAATAGGGACATAACTTTGAACAGAAAATGTTTAATTTAGTATCTTTAACTATCCCCTGTCACCCTGTTTCAGGTTTATGGATCTTCAAACTGGAAAACCTACTGGAAAACCTCTAGTCAAAAGTCAGCTATTAGTTACAAACACCTTTATGTTGGGTGGGCATGATAATGAAACAGAGGAAAAAGACTCACTATGCCACTATAATGCACAAGGGTCAAGAATATCTAAGCACAACTAGAAAAAGACAAAAGAATCACAGACAAAGTAATCTGAGGTAAATAAGACTGTATTTTATATAAAATAATACAAACAGAACTGAAATAACACTTGTATTGCTACATCAAAAATTGAGATTCAGCAATACAACATTTTGTTCTGTGATCCTTCTTTACTTTTTTCCCCTTCTTTATTTTTACTAACCTGGTCACAGACATTGAATGTGGGCTAATAAAAAAACAAAACAGAAAATATGATATGGAGAGAAAACAATGTAAAATTCAATTAAAATAAACATTAAAAGTTTTCAAACAAATTTAAAAGTGATACAGCTAGTTAACACAAAGTTATAGACACAATATTACCTTCATAGGAATGTTAGTTATTGTGGTTGAAGCCAGATCAAAGTGCTGTTGTACTAAAACATTCAGTTTTGTAGCCAGATGCCGGCCTGCACGGACACTGTGCACTTCACTGGTTAAAACAGGTGAAAGCTAAAATAAATTGATATAAAGTATATAGTATCAATGGATTAGGCTCTAGTATCATGCAACAGTATTACTCATTTGAAATTCTAAAATAACCATATTTATACTGCTAAATTCAACTAGGGGTAAAACTACCACCCAAAAAACCTACACCATGGGAAACTAAAGAAGCAAAACTTATTTCTCATTCAGAATTTTGCAGGTTATGCCAGTTGTTATAGTTGCAGTTGCTACAAATCGCCATAAAATTAGAGGTGTGCTAAAAAACTTGAGTCATTAATTGTCAATAGGAAGAATTAGTATCACAACATGGGGAAGAAATCCTCTTAATAGCAACTCTGGGCCTAGTTTTCACTTTTACCTGCTGAATAACAAGAACAAAGTAGTTTTTATACACCTACCTATAAGTGCATCATACATACACAAGGGAAACAAACACAAGCCACAACACGCATTTGATTTTTCCCTAGCCAACAAGGACATTGGTTTTAGGCTTTTGGAAAAAAAAAAACACAAACCACAACAAAAAAGCCATAAAGATGACTACTACTTTCCTCTGTAAGACAGTCAATTTATTCTGTTCACATTTTACTTTTTAGCATAACTACAAATGAGTTTTGTAGAAGAGAATCTCAGGAAGGTAGCAATATGCAGGACTAGACACCTGTCACGTTAAGAATAACTTCTTTCTTGTGTCCTCTCTTACAGACAGCACATTAAAATACCAAGCAGAGCAGACTGATGAAGAGCAGCATATTATATTTTGTATGTACTTGGTTTCAAACAACCACCACGAAGCATACAAGTCCACAGAGCACACATGCTTTTATTACTGAAAAACTGAGATGTTAGTATGTAGACTAATTTTATATGCATCCTTTCACCTTTTCCTAAAATAATCTTTAAAAGTACCTGTAGGGTACTTCAAGCATATTCTACATTCCCAAAATATATTACTCTTTCACTTGGAAGCAGATATGCTTTCCAATGCTTTTTATTCCTGTTTGCTAACACTGGGACACAGAATTTATACACAAAAGTTCATTTTGGTTTCATGAGAAAACCAATTCAACCAAAAGGCTAAAAACGTTAACGTGTTAGTCTGAATAACATGGAACACACAGCACTGAACAAGACCCACATCATTCAGTACAGACATCTGGGAAAAGAGGGCTTGCGCTGGCTATCGGCTTATGCTTGAATAGCAGGAAAGTTTCTCAACTAACCTATTCAACACACCAAGCAATTGATGGTTTTCCACTAGGTTACTAAACACGCATTTCCTTCTCAAAAAAGACAAACCCAAGATTCTCCTTCTATGGCATTAGCAGGCTTCCTTCACAAAAAAAAAGAATCATGAACTATTAATGCAAGAAATTTAAGTAGCAAAATGAAAAAAGGGGACACCATACATGCACGAAGACTACAAAACAAGCAAGCAAAGCATATGCTTTAAAAGTTGACAGCCTGCATATTGCCATTTCAAAGAATTATCATCTGTACTTCTTCCTGCACCTGACCAGAGGCTCAAAATGTTATCACTAAATACTTAATTCACACCGCCTATTTTGACTCTGACATGGTTCCTAATCCTTGAACAAATTTTCTCATTTTAAGCTCCTTACCTCTTTTTTAGGACGATCTGAAACAAGGCTCTCTTCACCAACTGGGTAAGTGTGGATTAAGACCAATTCACACTTCTGAATCTGCATTAGACTTAAAAATGAAGAGATTCTATTTAGCCTACAGCATGGCAGACTCTCCTAGAAATTAGACTGATTCTCCAAAGATTCATCTGATTTCCAGAACACAGAATCAAAGATTTATTACAACATACTGTTTCTGAAAGCATTCTGTAGAAACTAGGTTGCATTAATGATTTTCAAAAGCACATACTTCAAAACAAGTTTTTATCAGAATAAAAAGAATGTGTAACATTTCTAGCTCTTCAGATGCTATAGCACCGTGTCTCTTTTTGGACATATCAATGGCATAGATCCTTAACTGATGTAATCTGTTCAGCTTCATTCAACTGAAAATTGACACTGCAGAGGATTTGTGTCTCCAAGTGTATGCACAGGTATTAATAAGGGGGTTCCAGTGAACATGAAAACAGCTACCCAAACAGCACGCTTATCTCCTAACACGGCCAGAAATTTGGAGAGATTAAGACATTGTTCCACATCGCTACCTACAGGAATGAGACCACTTTTCTGTCTTTACAGTGGACTTGGAACCTGATTCCCTGAGGCAGTATCCTTTATACATACATGAAACTGCAATTGCAGCAGGTATATAAGAGACTCCTGCTTCTGCTATTTAAGTGCCTAAGTAAGAACAGGATCTCAACCTACTACACACTTTACAAGGTAATACACAGTCCCTGGGCCAAACAATTCACTCTAATTAGACAAAACATATGGTGGGAAAGTGACTTCTCAGAGAAGGTCCAACCTATATTTCAAGAGATTTCTTTATCTCAAGGGAAGTGTCAGGCAACGCAATTTAGAAATTAAAAACCAGTTTCAAAGAAGTTAGCTATTTTAGTCAAAGAAAGATGAATGTAAAATTAATGCAGTGTTATCACGAGAAAATGCTCCAGATGCATTACTGACTACAAATACACAGTATATAACTAGGCACAGTTATGTGTCTCATTTTGGAGCAAGATGTAGAAGGTAACAAACTAAAGAAATACTGTTCTATGAGGATGAAGAATGATACTGAAAAGCTGACGATTACACACCAGCTCTAAGTGAACAGTATCATGATTTAGCACCTTCTACTTCACACAGGCAAACAGTTTTAGAGTAAGTTTTAAAGTGACTAATACACATCTCTATTTCATAAACAATATAACAGGCACACACAGAATACGAGAAACTACATTTGTAAAAAGTATACTCACTGATCTGAATTAGCTGCAAGCTTGTTATGCTCATGAATGGTTTCCTGAACACAATCCTCAAGCATCCGAACATGACTGTCACTAGAAAGACATTTCATACATTTTATGCCAGATAATCAATCCTTCTACTCAAAGCAACATGCCACTAAGCACTCTCCTATTTCACGTGGGAAATCTTTGGTTTCTTACTGTAACAGACCTCCATAAATGAAACCTTTAATAAGGCAAGAAATGATCTAACAAAGATGGCAAAAAAGCTAGCTACTTAAGGCACTAATTCATGACAATCAATGAAAGACTTCTACAAATGTATGAAGTAAAGTTTTTTAAAATGGTAGAAGCACATTATCATACACACCTTTTTGCATTAGTAATACAGATTATTCTTCCTCTGTTTCCAACACGTTCTGCATTCTCCATGAGCATGGTTCGAGCCTCATGCTGGTATTCTGTTATTTTGCAGAGTGCTTCAACTGCTGCAACCAGACCATGAAGTATGCTGCAGCACTCTGGATCTGCCCGGGGATTAGGTGGCCCAACAGCTGCTAACGCTGCCATCAACTAGTTTAAAAGAAATAAATTATTGAAAATTGCTTTCCAGACATTTGTTAAAATGATCAGTTAAGAGAAAAGTCATTATAACTTTAATTTACATGCAAATTAATATTGTTGGGAGAAAATCCAACAGAGCAACTAAAGACCATTATATGTTGCCAGCCTTCTGGAAAACATTTGGCCCTAAATTATCCTTTGCAAATCATTTATTAATTGTTATTAAGCCTTGAGAATATAACATTCTTATTTATTACAGAAAAACACCTGGCTATAATAACAAGTTATATCTGATACTTGAGATGAATTCCAACATTATCAGTTGCCATCTGCTTTTATTTTCTGAGAATTTGGAAATTCAGTTCCTGCCCAAAGTAAGATTTTCAGAGAATGAACCCATTTAGTATGAAACAAAACAGCAAAGATATTTACTTTTTTTTAAACACAGTTTATTTGCCCATCATGCAAATGCAAAAAAAAAATCTAAACTTCAAGAAGTATCACCAAATTACAGAAAAAATGCATAAATAATTTCTTAGTAACATTTCTTTCAATATATAACTCTATACTAAAAGTCATTGGATTCTTTTTAAATTACAGAAAGTTGCTCATAGAATAGTCCAGCCTCACTGGTTACTTCTTAAAATTCTGTTACACAATAATTTCAGACCAGATCCACCAACATTTTTATTAAGCAAAGTTATTTCATACTGAACATACTAAGAAGCTGCTATTTATTCCGCAATTAAACTAGACTTACAAGACAAAAGAACAGTTACAGAGCATACCTCCTGCAAGTTCTGATCTTCTTGAGTCCAAGAATTCAAGACATGAGCCCCAGAATCACTCACAATGAAATTCACCTAAAAGGATCAAAAGAGCATATCTCAGATAACAGCCAATCATACAGGTAACAGCCATTATGGCTACTTCCCCAAATCCAAACATGAATTACACCTCTTTCTTCTGATACTCTGAAGATATGTGCAATGACAAGCCAAACTAAAAATAAGACAGCAAAACCACAAAAAGTATCCACTCCTGCTATATTCAGTTACCCATTTCGTAACATTATGATTAACTTCTTACTCCGAGTATTATATTTTTAAGCCACTAAATTAATCTATGCCAAATCAGCATTGCAGGATATTATGAAATATTTTAATAATTAGGTAGTATTTTCAGTAGAATAACTAAAAAATAAAGTAAATTCTAATACTGCAACATTGCAAATCATTCTCCAAAGACTGTCACAGTAGATCATAGGGGTAAAATATCCAGCAAGATTTAATAAACATCACATAGCAAAATACATTCTAAAGATGACAAAAAAGTCAAGAGGAAGCACACTTTCCATCTCAATTTCAGTTTCTCATACCACACAAGCTCCAGTTCAGCCACTTGATTCAAATCCATTAAGTATATACTTGATACAATCCTATAATGGGATGTGACTGTATATTAAATGCTCTAGAGTTTAATTTAAACATTCTCTGAGAATGAGGACACACAATCCATCAAGGCAGTGTGGCTGACATGCATCAAATCACTGAATCACCCAAGGTATTGTTAGTGCCCATCCTCTGCCTCAGCTGCTCCTCAACACAGCCAGTATTCCGCCATCACTACTTTGCACCAATGTCACTGTCACAAGGTTGTTTAACCTCCTTTTTTCTAAGTGTAATTAACCTTTAGGACACTGCACAATGGTTTACTCAATAATGAGCAAAGATGTAAAAAACCCAGGGATTAGTTACCTTAATTTATGATACAACATTACAGAACCCACCAGGCATTTATTTTTTCTAAACAAGGAGCTGTGTGTTGAGAAGCTCTCCCACTTTTTCCAAACTGGTAGCTTCAGGGCGATCCTACCTCTTCCTAAAGCCCAAAATTCCTTCAAAGTTGACACCAAAAGCCTTATGTAGTACTACCAAGTGTGTTTAGAAACAAAATTCAATTTGAAGCAGTACCTCACTCAAGCTTTTGTAAACTTATAGCTCAAGAGAACACAATAAATCTTTAAGTTACCTTAAAGCACCTCTCCTCATGTTTTGCACTGAGTTAAAGTGACATTAAGATAACGAAAGGTCACAAAAATGAATCTGTAATGGGATTCATATACTACTCCAGCCAATTTAAATAGCTATAAAGTATATCAACAGCACAAATAATTTTTATATAATAAATTGTATTTGATCTTTTAATCTAACCAACAGCTAATGATATTAAATGACTTCATTAAAATGGGAAATACCACTTATACTATCAAGTATCATACGCAGTATGGCTTGAAGAACTTACCAGTTTCTTGAAAGGGAAAATATCATACATTATTCTACAGTACTCCATGGATGATTCCACTGAACAGGTCCATAGTGATTTTGATATGGGTGCTAGAGGTATAATTCCTTGGGTCCGATTCTTTACTAACATATCGAATTCAACATGTTGTCTGCAGGATTCTGCCATATATGGGCAGTGATCCACAACAAAAACAGTTTTATGAGACTCAGAGAAGATTTTCATTTTCTTCCTAGAAGAAACAGATACTAAAATCAGAAATTGTACAAAGCAAAAAATGATATCACAAGATTACTGTGCAATTTATATAGTATAAAATTATCTTACTAGAATATGCAAGTTTTAAAGAGATTACCTCTTACAGCATTTAGATTATATATTGCATATGTTAGCTCTTACAAAATTGTTAAGACTTAAAACGGGAATTTTTGTAGGTTTAAGAATCTACTTACGCGGGGTCAAATATCCTCTAGAACTCTTAGTAACCATATAATTAGTATACTAGATTTCTAATCAGAAGAAACTATTTCTTCTCAGGAGGAAAAAAATACGGAAAATGTGAAAGTATACTGCTGAAAAGGCAACAACAGTACACAGTATTATCCTCCCCACTTTTCTACCCAAAAGAAAACTGTAAGAAAAAAGTACGGAAACTGCTTCCTATTAAAAGCTTATGGCCTAAAATAAGCTACAAGAAAAGAATAATTTATTATCAGGCTATACAGAACCTGAAGTAGTATAAACAGATTTAAGTAGATTTCCAGCCTTCACTCTGCTAGGTACATCTTTCTACTTTTAAAAGAATATTCACATCTGTACTTTGATCTCCCACTGACAGACATACCAAGTCTGAAATTATAATGCATATGATTCTTATCCAGCAAGACTCATAGGAGCACCCGTTGTATCCTTCCCAAGCATGAAGCCTGAGAACCCTGCAATGAAGTGTGATGCATTTTCCTGTTCCACATCGATAGACTGGGTTTCCCTCTCCTACAGCATCACTGAAAGAAATACCTTTGAAGTAACTATAACATCAGATCCTTGTGTTAGGGTGGACATCATAGCCTGGGAGACTCAAACTACATATGAAAATTAATCTTAGACTAGTGCTACTTAGACCACACACTCCCCATCAAGTTTATTTAACTTCTAGATGTTCCCATAATGTTTCTAGTATAAAAGTCTATTTCATCCACGCAAATGCTGCTGAATTCGAGAATACACAAAATATATACGAGCTCATTTAAAAAATCCAAAACATTATTTTAATGAGGATTGACACAAGTCAGACTGGGGGCAGCATCTCGCTCGGGGAGGGAGGGGGCAGGTTT